CCCCCCCCCCTCTCTCTCTCTCTAGATGTGTCTCTTTCCCTCTTTCTTTCATTCAATCTAATCATCAATATTATAGCCGTGAACCAATCGATTTATCAATGTATCTATCAGTGTATCTATCAGTGTATCTTCCTATGTATCTATTTATGGGTTTTTACGAGTACAAATAGACACAGGAACTCGGTTAATTTACCAACTTTCGAGAGAGGGAAGTGTGTGTGTGGGAGTGTTTCTCTCTCTCTCTCTCTCTCTCTCTCTCTCTCTCTCTCTCTCTCTGTGTGTGTGTGTGTGTGTGTGTGTGTGTGTGTGTGTGTGTGTGTGTGTGAGAACTTTGGGCTCAAAACAACAACAAAGACAGAAGTTCTGTTCTAGCCTGTCGGGTGATACACAGACCGTCTCTCCTGAAATAAAAAAATAAAAAACATTACGTACGACGCCGAGCAATGTTGGTAGCTTCAAATATCTTGGCAGTAGTACTCTATATAATATATTCAAATGTCCGGATCGATGCAGAAATCGCTTTAACCAAAGCTTAGTTAAAGAAGGGTTAGAGATAGCTTTATATGTTTATGAACGTCATGTTGATCCGTTGACATAAAGGGGCGCCTAACTCTTGACACATCGAGTTGGAGATCGGTAATCATAGTGGGCAGAAAATCATACGAGGTTTCACGAGTGAAAAATGTTGAAGCTAAGAGTGAAGTCCGCATCCACAAAGTGGAAGGAAGCTTTTCAATGCTCAAAATGTTCATTTCTGTCAGAATTGGTCCCATTGGCCATGACATCTTAATCCTTGTTTCTTCTTCTTGTCTTTGCGAGATTTTTTTTCCTCTGAATTTCATCGGTCATCGCCAGACATTGACAGACAAACTATTAAGCCTAATAACATCGAGGTGAACAACGCTAGTACATTCTATGAAGAAGACTGAAGGTAAGGGTTTTGGACTGCTGTGACATACATACGCACAGAACTAAAATGCTGAACAATGCTGTTATCTTCCTAACCCTGTTGTGTGGTGCCGATACCTGGATAGTGGATAGCCTACAAAGTCATGACAAAAAGTTAAATCATTTCCACATAAGCTGCCTCGGGAACATTCTTCGATTTTTAAAATATGTGTTTTTTTTATTTTTTTTTTTTTATTTTGTTGGTGGGGGGTTTTTTTGTTAAATTTTTGTTTAGTTTTTGTAAGGTTTTGCGGCGCTCGCAACTGCATAAGGAGAACTACTACTACTACCTTCCTCATCCTTATTATCGCCACTTTTCCTCTACTTCTTTTGTATGTT